AATATATTTTTATTTAAGGCATAGATAAAAAATCTGTCTCAGCCACTTTTTAGCTAAATTCTTTTTTTGCTAAATTTACAAATTGGCTGAGACAGATTTTTTATCTATGCCTTAAATAAAAAGATATAATTTTTTTAATGAAAGTGTCGCTAGTGGCGCGAGCAAAACCAGGTAGGTACGGCCTCTTAATTTGCACCTGTATTTTATATTTTATAAATTAGTTTCATCTGCCTTAAAAATAATTAACTATAAAAAAATTTACTCACCTCAATGTCATTGCCAGACGTTCAACAGATGGTATGCTTTTTCTCATGACCGTGTCTTTTTTGCAACTCACTATTCAGTTCGTTTAACAAGTAGTCAAATGTATTCTTGTTCATTCTAAATTTTTTATAAAATTTCTTCTTGAACCTTCGAAGTTTAGGATAATCAGTACGAAATTGGCTTTGACTTTTGTTTTCCAATAAATGATGTACCCAATAAATTCTATTTCGACGAATACGATGATGTCGTCGTCTTCTTCTTATTAATAAAAGCCATAACAAGGATAGCCACAACAATCTTTCCTCCATGACTACGTTCAGTCAAGCTGTGTTTCCTCTACGAAAGCCGGAGTATAACTGCACATGACCACGTGGTTACTACATCGCAACGACAGCGACAACGCAACCACATCGACATTTTGTCGGTACCACAACGCAACTGCAAAAAGCCGCTGCGACACTATTCACACGTAACCACAGCTTGACCACATTTTGTCGCTGCGACGTGGTGTGGTTGTGGTACGTGTGAATTGACCCGAAGAGTGTGCGGATATCAGAGCGCGTATGGATGTGTGGTAGCTCTAGTATAATGTCCACAAACCGGTCGATCAGGACGCGACGGTTTTCATATCGTCTGGTCAGAATATCCATGGCCACGGCGAAATTCTCGTTGGTGAGCTGAAGATGAGATACCATACTGCGTGCCTCGCCTGATAGGTACGAGAGCAGGTAATGAAGCTTCACAGAATCCGAAATGGTGGTCATGTCATCTGTAAGACTTCTAAAGATGGCTATGAAGGAAGGCCAGTCTTCAATTTTAGAGCTGAACTTCGGCAGAGCAATTTTGGGCAGAACGTGAGCAGGTGTGGCTGACGTGGACGGGTGAGCAGTCTCCGGAAGAGCTGAAGCCACACTTAATTTTTCAAACGCAACTAAGATGTCATTGTAATCTGAAATCGCCTTCTCATAATTCTTTGTATAGGTGGCCTCGACCTCATCGGTGAGGTCCTCATCATCCAGGATCTCGTAGAAGACGTTCTCCAATTTGTGCTTGTGTTCCTCTAGCTTGGCGTACCTAGCAGTAAAGTCCGTTATAGTATACTTTTTCGTATCCTTAGCTATTACCGCCAAGGCAATTTCCTTCAGCTGGTTAATTGCCTTTATCGCCTCACGAAAAATGGCCGCTTTAGACTTGGACGGCATTGTATGTAAACTATTATAAAAGAAGAATGAGAAAAAAAATACAATCGAATTGTGAACCTCCTCCTTTTTTGGAAGTCGGTTAAAAATAAATAAATGCGAGTATGTGTTGTAAATGTTATAATATGTTACTGAGCAGAACTTAAGATAAGCGCGGAGCAGAGAATGTAAAGTGAGCAGAATATACCTACAACCTAAATTATGTAAAAGTATTTTAAAAGTTAACACTAATAGTAGAATAAACAGACAATATTATTTTTGCAACGAACATATTACAATTCAATCGCCGTGTATTAGTCACCAGAACGAAAATAATATTAAAAAACTTATATACGAAATTAATAATAATGCCTATTGAGAAAGAAATAACACGAGTAAGTACATATAATTAATAATATTAATACTATTTACTTATTACCTATTAAATTAAACAACAAAATATTTTAACGCTTGCTTCTTTTCTACAAATAATCGAGACGGGACGGCGAGTCCTTAACCTACCTACGACTCAGCTGATCGTACAATAAAGGGCAGTGTTGAGCCGATTGTTAACACTTTTTCATGAACTTTTAATTATATTATATGTTTAAAAATGATGCAATCAAACACTTTTGTTGAAATACGAGACGTTATAATATTATATTCGAAAGCGTTAGCTTAGTGCCTACTTAAAGAGAAACAATGTATGGAGATGTGAATTATTTTTTAATAAATGTTAATGTTAAATATGTATTAATGAATTTTAATATATGGGCTGAGATTATATGATTACATACTTAAGAAATTTTTATCTATTTAAAAGATTTTAATATTTTGTTGAGAGAAATGTGGGTAACTTTATGGGTGTGGTTGGGTTTATTTCCCGGTCTTAGGACACTGTTTATCCATAGGGGCTTATTTCTTATAATCGAAGGACCGTAAAATGAGCAGGGGTCGTTGGTTCAGATGCTTGAAGGACCAGAAAATGTGAGGGAAAGCCACATCGACGGTGAGCTGAAGCGCGGGTTGAACGAAATTGGAGAGGAAATGTACGGGTGTGCACTTACTTTGAATGCAGATGGACGGATGATAAATGAATGGTGCTGGGTGGCTGGCAAGCTCCTGAGCTGGTTATGCCGTTAAATGTATACACGTGCAACTAAAGTCTTATATCATACACTGTCACTTTCACTTTAATGTTTAATTGTTCGTAATGATTATCACTTAGATATATTAGATACCGGCCGGCAATATATACGTAATTAACGCGAGCCGATGAGCTGAAGGTTGCGGACGCGCTTTCTTACACCTTTTTTCGAACGAGGGCGGCGCGTGACTCCCTTCCGGGGCTGCGACTGACGCAATACTGCTCTCGCGCCGAATCAATGAATGAAAGAGAGAAAGCGAATCAGGGAATCAATCGTCGCGCGCGAGTGGCGCGAACAACGTACATTAATGGAATCAAATTAAGATCTTTTTATTAGAATTGAACACAAAGCTTTAACACTTTAAATTATAAATCAATATTTTGATAACTAGCGTAATTTTTCTTGCTTTCCTTTTATCTGCTCTCTTCGGTAAACATCTTTATTCACTTCTTTAATCAAACCTATTCACTTTTTTTATTAACAGTTGATGATTTATTTACTCATCTTCCTTTATCATCTTCTTCGTGTGTTTCGTTCGAAGTCACATAGCTCAGAATTACAAGGAAATCCCCTGTTATGTTATCGTTATGAAATCTTAGAGGTCTCTCAATTTTCACATAGGTTTATTTGATCTTTATATTCAGCAGCGGCTATTCCCAGTCTACTATTGTATATATATTAGGGGCCGTCCATTAATCACGTTATTTTTTTAGCATTTTTAAAACTCTCGGTGATACGTGGTGAGGTTTACGACTCCCCCCCCCCTCCCCACCGAAAATCACGTGTATTTTTAGTACTTATAAAGTATAATCTAGTTTTATTCAGAAATTAAGGACCATGATAAAAATGTCTAGACGGAAATAATAGTGTAATCATGCGAAAACCCTATATTGTACTAGTACATGAACATATTTAATGTACATTGTCCTCGGACCATGAATTAGCAAGACTTTGTTCAACACTAACAACTGGATAAGCATCTTGCAAGTCAGTTGTTGGCACTGTGCTTTGTTGATGAACAGTGTCGGTTTCATCAAGAGGATGCGTGAAGGATGAACATTGTGCATTTCTAGACTATTATTGCTCGGATTACGTTCATGCTTGTGACATGAATTTACACGTACAGGCGATTCGAAGTCATATTACACGCCGCTTTTACTAAAAATATATACACGTGATAATCATACTACACTCTCCTCCCCCCTCCCCCTCCCCCCTTGTGATATTTCGTGATTTTTGTCAAACCCCTCCCCCCTTTCAAGCCTCACGTATATAATATTCAATGAGTAAAATTTCTTCGGTATCGATATAGTCAACTGTTACATCTAAACGATTGCGAAGGTATGACCGTAACTTCTGCAATGAAAATGAAAAAAGGAGTGTGCTTATGACCACACGACTGAATTAAAACTTCTTTAGCTCCATTTGTATGTATATGTATGTTTATATATGCATATATGTATAATATATACATGTATATACATTTATTAATTTTCTACAAATATTTAAAATTATTATCGGCTTCCTTCCATAATTTGTTCTTATTTATTTGAAAATTCACAAAACATTAAAATGAATTTACGTAGAATATATAATATATTGAACATAATATTAATAAAATTTAGTATGTGGTAGAGCCATGCTGCAGTTATATTAGAAGTATAGTTGTAGCACGACTGGGTCGGCTCGACCGAGGAAGGATCACGTTCTCACAGAATACCAGCGTGAAACTGTAGCTTAATGCTGCTGTGTTTCGTATGGTGAGTCTCTACAGAACCGGAGACCCTTTTTACTGGAAACGAGGCATTCCATCTTAGTCCTCACGGGTGACAACGCATCTGCATTTTGATTTGTAATCGAGGATAGATGTAGATGATGTAGATCCTATAAAAAAATCATAAAATACGGAACGTAACTGGCTCTGAGAGAAAGGGAGAAAGAAAATGTGTGCGCGCACTGCGCTCTCTTGCTTATTTCCCCCACTCAACTCCTGTTCGCCTCTCCCGATCACACTTTTCTTAACTTTTCGTCACGCATTCGCCAGCTTACTCCCCAAGTCAAGCATGCGTAAAGAAGTTTTGCTTCAAAAATAAAGCATTTCAAAGAAAAATATATTAAACAAAGTACCTAATTTTCATAACGCGACTAACTTTTCAAACATACTCATCTACATAGAAACCTCTCATCAGTGTCAAATTTATATACAAAAGCAATACAGACTTGTTAACTAAGTAATGCCTTTCGTGTAACTACGAGACTTTGTAATTGCATGTAACGCTTACAGTTTTTGTAGGCTGTGCGCAGAGCATTTTTATAGGCTGTAATGAAGTGTATAATGCACTAGGATAACAAAGTATAGGTGACGTGATTTTAAGGCGATATCGCTGGAGTAGTGCGTGTTTGCGTGCAGGGCGGTCGCAGTGCGCGGGCGTATTTTGGGAGGAGGCGCTGTGGGTGCTGGGCGGCTGCGACGCGTGGCGCTGCCTCGCGTCCACGGAGACGCTGGCGGTGGGCGGGGCGGGCGGCGCGGCCAGCGCGGCTTGGAGTTCGGGCCCGGCGCTGCCTAGCGCGCGGCGTGCAGTGGGCGGCGCCGTGTGGCGCGGACGGCTGCTGGCGGCGGGCGGCTCGGCAGGCGCGGCGTCACTGCGCGGCACGGCGTACCTCACGAGTGGAGCGGCCGCGTGGCGCGCCGGCCCGGCGCTGCGCGAGGCGCGCGCGGCGCCCGCGCTGTGCGTACTGCGCGACGTGCTGTACGCAGCGGGCGGCTTCGGCGGGACCGACGGCCACGAGTTCCTGGCGTCCGTCGAGTGCCTGTACGAGCCGGACGGCTGCTGGACCACGCTGTGCGCGCCGCCGCCGCTCGCCCGCACGCCCACGTTAGTGCACACACACACACACACACACACACACACACAGCAACTACACCTACACCTCTGCCTCCACCTTTATACTGGGTGACTATTTTTAACGTCTTTAAAATAATATGGTGTTTTGTATAAATGAAATAGCAGCTATCCTCTAAAGTATTTGTAAAATATAACAAAATATAACTATAGTCAACCAAATCTAAGAAATTCATTTTAACAGCTGTCAGACTTATTGCACCAAGCATGCCAACTAAAAAATGGGAACGTACTATATTCGATTCTTAAAAAAATCGATATCGATTGTTTAGAGTTGGTAATCATTTACAGTTTGGTATGAATAATACCAGAATAAATTAAAAACGAACAATTTAAAACACAAGATTTATCAGTTTCATCGTATTTGTTGTTTCTAGAAGCACAGTTGTAAAAATTTAAGATTGAAACTAGATTAAAAATAAATTTATTCAATCACTTTCAGTACAACTAGTTAAGTTGTCGTTGTTTAGATTAATTATTATTTGATTTTCAAAAATCTTTTCTACACTCTTTTCCAATAATCCTTTGTGACATGGGCACATGCTTCAACAAATATAGTAATGCCTTTCGTGTAGAAACTGACCAAAAAGTTAAAGCCGAGTCATAAAATAAGAAGACAAACACAAAATCACAAAACTACGCATAGTAAGCTCCCGAAATGGTGGGAGAGTGAAATTACGTGGTGGTTTTTTCAGCGTGGCCTTGTATATGAGTTATTTTGCCTACACAAATTTACTTTGACAAAGTAAAAAAAAATAAACTTGTTTCATTCATGATTCATGTAATTTAAGAAATATTAAAAATTAAATTTAATTAAACAAATAATACATTAAAAAATTAATGATTCGATTATTTGAATATTTTTGTCAATTATTCACATAACAACGCATTTTAATCATCCAAACACTACGGTAGTGTACATAGCGACGTATCATTGAAACGAAGTTAGGTAAAAAAGTTAATACCGGTTATTTTTTAAATTTTTTGCTTTGTTTGAAACATTCGAATTTAAATTAGTGATAAAAAATTATACACATTGTAATGAAATATAGATAACTTCATAATTTTTCGGATTTACGTAAAAGTTTATTTTAAAAGGTTGCGGAATGGTTAATGTGAAACGTCAAAAGGTATTTCTTAGATTTGGTTGACCATAGATTGGCACAATTTCCGAATATCCAAAAAAATACATAAAAACAATTCATCCTACGTCGTTTACATATAACTAATGATAATGAATGAAAGTTGTAAGAGCGAGCGAGATGCATACACATTTATTTCCTGATGTAGACGCCAGGCGGCCGAGTGCAGCGGCCGACACATCGTTGCAGCCTACATTTTTAGAATGAGCCGACGCCTCATGTTAACAAAAAATATTTTTCTCTTATAAGTATTTAGGCATTTTTGATATTTATTTTCGATTTTGACACCTCTGTTGGTCTATTGGTTGTAGTAGTATGACAAATGACTATAACGTCCTGTGTTCGAATCCTGGGTCGCGACAAAAAATAAACAATTTGTTGTTCCGTCGAAAAATTTTTAGTAGGTGCTAGAAGTCAGTAAGTTGGCGTTGGCTCATCCCCGTGCCTCTCAAAGAAAGTAAAGCCGTTGGTTGGTGGTGGTTTTCTCGCGTATAATGTCGCATAGTTTTTCGCGTAAACTTTAAAACATTCAGTGTAAATAGACCTCCCAGTACTAGTTACTGCCTACTAATGCAGTCATATACTGGGTTATTAATAAAATACTTGGTCAATAATAGAAAGAGATTCAAAATAGCAGCACTTCTCATTGCCACTCTTTCATTAATAATGCCGTCGCATGTTGCATATTTTTAAATAGCAAAAAAAATGTGAAACAGAAAACGGTAAATAGGTAAACCTTTCGTTTCAGATTATTATTTTTGTGATTTCGATCTTTCCTTCATACTTTTACGGGCTTGGGACCGTCTAATATGCTGTAGTTGAGTAGAATTACATGTTAAATTTTATCTTGCGTTATAATGAATTGATAAATAGTTTCTAATAACAAATTGTATGCCTACCGTATACTGCAACATCTTGGCGTATTTAAAAGATCGAAATCAACTTAGTTACAAATAAAAAATACCTTTTTAGAGATATCGCAGTAATTGTTCAAAATGTCCACCGATTCTTTCTAAACATAAACTAGCACGTCTTTGTAAATTGTTTGTTAAACTTCGAAGCGTGTCTATTTCTTTCTATCACATTAAATGAGTATCATACGCTGCTTTAAAATACTCACACTTTGTGGTTCTTCTGTGTACACTCATGGTTTTAGTTCGATGATTTTAGTTTTATTTCGATCCATTGCTAGGTATTCGACATTAGAGTATTGGTACATGTGTACGATAGCTATCAGTGGACGGCCGATACACACGCGGAAAAATAAATAATACGACGTCACGCCGTGGCTAATTGCATGTGACTGAAAAATGAAATGAAAGCGCGGGGCGCAGGCGGGAGCAGGTATTGTGCTGGCGGCACTTGCGCCTGCTAAGACATCAAACAGGCTTACCGCGGGTGCTTCGAGTGTCGGTTTTTTTATAGGAGAGGCGGCAAACGAGCATACGGCTCACCTGATGGTAAGTGATTACCGTCGCCCATGAACAGCTGCAACACCAGGGAGAATACAGATGCGTTGCTGGCCTTTTAAAAAGGAATAGACTCTTTTCTTGAGGGTCCCTAAGTCTTATCGGTCCGGAAAAATCTCTGGTGGTAGTTGATTCCACAATCAAGTTGTGCGAGGAAGAAAACTTCTTTTAAATCGCTTAGTGGTGGACCGCCAGTCATCCAGATGGTATGGATGGTGTCTCGATGTGCGATGGTGAAACTGTGCGACTGGAATTAGTCAGAACGATTCCTCAGAGCACTCCCCGTGGTAGATACGCAAGGAGATGCAACATCTCTTCGCAGTGCCAGTGAGTCAAGCCGATTGAGCTCTTTCGAGCTCGGTCGCCGACGATTCGAACTGCTCTGCGCTGGATGCGATCAAATGGAAGGACCTGGCACTGGGGAGCCCCGGCCCAGAGATGGGAACAGTATTTCATGTGCGGCCGAACCTGCGCCTTGTAAAGTTGCAGGCAGTGAGCCGGCATAAAATACTGTCCCGCTCTGCTGAGCACGCCAAGCTTTTTAAAGGCCAATTTGGCCTTTTCTTACAAAGTGACCACGAAACTGGACGTCACTCGATATATCGACGCCGAGGATTCAAATACTGGCTGAGACAACAAAGGGAATGCCCTCAAACTGAGGAGATACGACTAAGGGGTTCTTTTTAACGGTAAATGCGCAATCTTGTGTCTTCTGTGGAGTAAACTGGACTAGATTTAGTCGCCACTAGTCCGAGATTTTGTTCAACAAAGTCTCGACTTCAGACACAAGTTTATCCCGGTACTCGGCAACGTTGTCCCGAGAAATATTGGCACGGCCGGTGTATAAAGCATCACCAGTGCTGTCGTCTGCATGGCAATGAATGCTACCGATTTGCAACATGTCATTGATATGCAGAAGAAACAGGGTAGGTAGCACGCAGCCTTGTGGAACACCAGCGTTAATGGGCTTGTAATCGGAGCATGCACCGTCTACTACGACCTTGATCCTCCGATCAGCAAGAAAACTGGTGATCCAATTGCACAATTTCTCGGGAAGCTCATAGGAAGGAAGCTTCGTAAGAAGCACTATGTGCCAAACCCGATCGAAGGCCTTCGCTATGTCCAAACTAACGGCCAATGCCTCCCCCTGCACTCTACTGCCTTTGCCCATATATGAGTTAGGTAACCTAGGAGATCACCAGCCGAGCGACCGCGACGGAAACCCTACTGGTGGTCACTGATCAGCTGGTGATCCTCAAGGTACCGCATGACCTGGCTGTTAATAATAGATTCCATTATTTTAGAGAACTAGGAGGTAATGGCGATAGGCCTATAGTTGGACGTATCAGAGCGGTTACCTTTTTTAGGGATCGGATGCACAAAGGCTGTCTTCCATGATTTCTGGACTACGCCTAGGGAGTAGGAGTACCGGAAAAGACGCGTTAAGACCGGTGCCAACTCCGGAGGCACAATAGCCTCCTATTGCGCCTCCAGGCCATCCATGGCCATCAGGCCCACTCGACTTGTTGATGTCCAGGGAGAGGAGTGCTCTGCGCACCGAGCGTTGGGTAAACAGCACATCATGCATGCTTGGGGCACTCACTCACACTGCGGGATAGTCAGCGGTGTGTGTCATCAAGAGTCGAGTTTGACGCAAAGAGAGAGCCCAGTATATTGGCTTTATCCTTTGCGGCACGGGCAAGTGAGTCATTCTCCCTATGCAGAGATGGCTGGCAGAAGTTCTCTTGGATATCCTTGGCGAGAGACCAGAATGCACGTGTTCCCGAAGGAAGACGAACAAGTTTCTCGCCAATTCTGCCGATGTCCTCTGACTTTATCTTGACAATGACACTTTTGAAGGACTTGGAAGCAGAACTATACTTCTTCTTTTTAAGAACGCTGGTATGACATCCTTAAACGTCGATGCGCGGGCCCAGGCCTGGTAGCACTCCTGCTTATGATATAATGTAATTTGCAGGATCGACCAAACCAAGGCTGGTTTCTGCCTCCGATAGGTACCACAAACGATGGAATAAATAGTTCCATTCCCTGTAGCACCACATCAGCGACAGAATCAGCAACAACGCTGGGATCATCCGGCGAGAAGCAAACCCGCCTCCAAGGGTAGGATGCAAAAAAAATCGCATCCCGTCCCCGTCTGCTGATCTATAATGTCAAACACGGCCGCAACCTGCAGTACGCAACCGCGATGAGTGCGTGAGTGGCACCGTACTCCGGATCAGACAATGGTCCGAGGAGCCAAGACAGGGGGGGGGGGGCGGTGATTAAAATTTATAGTATCGCGTTACGAATTCATTGATTTTAATGCTGTTTGTAAAGTAGGGTGGGTGTGATTTGAGTTTCTTTATATTTTAGTTGATTTATTTATTAATTTTTAAAAATATCTGTTCTATAGGCTTCACCTCCGGTTACCTGTTAGACCCTATTTTTTTCCAGACGGTAAAAATAGTCATCCAGTATATAGCCTACATGCTACACCTACGCTACCACGACATTATGCTTGTAATACCACATAAATATACATAAATAAATTAGTTGAGTGCTAGATGTCTGCACCATGAGTCCTAAGGTAACAGATGGCGACAGAATGTCAGGGTTGGATGATGAGGTTCTCTCACAGTCAAGCAGACTCATAAGACAGATCGGGGTGTTCTCTTGGCCGCAGTGAGAGGGATACCTTACCAGGAGTCTCGTTGATTGTAATTGAACTTGTCGTCCAGCGCTTAAAGAGGATTTTATGTACAACTCATTACAATATATACGTAGGCGGTCCCATTATGAATTGGCCTAACTATGAACCAATGAAGGAAATGAAACGAAACTAATTTTATTTTTCAATATAATCACCATGAATACTAACACACTTCTTACATCTGTGAATCAACATCTCTAAACCTTTATAAAAATAATCACATTTTTTATCCTCAAAATGACTGAAGACGGCCGCCTGCAACTCTTCATCGCTTGAAAATTTTCTTCCTCTTAAGTCCCGCTTTAAATTTGGAAATAAATAATAGTTGGACGGGGCCATGTCTGGACTGTAAGGTGGATGTTGAACTTCTGTGAACCCGCATTGACGAACTGCATCCTTCGAAACACCAGCGGTATGAACAGGGGCGTTGTCATGGAGCAACAGGACACCTTTAGACAGCTTGCCTCTTCATTTTTTCTTTATCTTGTCTCGTAATTTATATATTAAAGAAGCAAAATATTCGCCGTTCACGACTGTATTACGTTCTTTAAAATCCACCATCAAAATGCCTTGAAAATCCCAAAATATTGTGCACATCAGTTTTTTAGTCGGTTGTTGCACCTTTGCCTTTCTAAGGGGCTTTTCACCCTTATAACGCCATTCCATTGACTCGCGCTTGCTTTGTGGATCATAATACAAGATCATAGTTTCATCACCAGTCACTAGCCGCTCGATCACAGTCTTTGGATTTTCGCCACAAAGATCCAAAAACTCCGAAGCGCAGCGCACTCTTTCCTGTCTCTGTACCGCTGAAAGAAGTTTCGGTACCCATCTTGCACTCACTTTTTTGATGTGAAGATGTTCATGGATCGCGCGATGAATGGTACTCTTAGAGAGCCCAAGCCTTGCTGCAATTTCTCTAATCTTCCAACGACGGTCACTCAGAACCTCCTCTTCGATAAGAGCAATCGTTTCGGGAGTGAGCACTTCCACAGGTCGACCGTCGTGGCCAAAGTCTTCGACGGTTTCTCTCCCGAGGCGAAACTCTTTCACCCAATTTTTCACTGTGCTATAGGAGGGGGCAGACTCCTTATACACGCCATCCAATCGTTCTTTTATTTGGGCAGGGGATAAACTTTCTTTAAACAGAAACTTTATGACACTTCGATACTCAGTTTTCGACATTTTGAAAAAATACGCGACTCTCGTTATTCAAATGCCTGTTAAACTAAGACTAAGCATTTCATGTCGATGCATGTTTCTTATATTAAGTGCACGATAAACGTACTATTTAATGCAACACAACATGTAGCGACATGTCGCGTTGAACTATATCAGGCCAGTTCATTATGGGACCGCCTGGTACAATTTAATACACGTATAAGTTTACATCATATGCTAATATTACTCAGCAACAACTATTAGTGTGCGTGAGTTTTGGTAACTTGGTCACCGGTTTGCTGCGTTGCTATGTTCAGCGCTGAACAATGTTATTTTCTTTTTTCTACTCGAAGAACCAAAAACTACTAACTTTTAAACACTAATTAGTATTAAGTTAATTTGTAAGTTTGTAACACTAATAAAAAAAAAACTTGAATATTCCAGGAAAATAAGGAGGGAGAGGCTATTTACAACCATGACGCAGAGCGTAACGGCGGACACGAAATAGAAGTCGTTAGCGAGAGTGAAATTAAACCAGACAGCGAACAAAATGGCAAAACAGTAGACAAGAAAAATTTCAACAGTGCGAGCGAGCAGCACAGCAAAATGGAAAGCGTCGAACACCAACGTCAGCCTGAGCAAGAGAAACAGAGCAGCGGCGAACTGAGCTGCACGAACTCTGCCCAATAGCGACACTCGGACACATTGTAACAGTGCGGCGCGATGCGACATGTTGCGACACGTCGGGATACGTTGCGACACACTGCAACACGTCGCTCCACGTTGCGCCACGCGTAGCTTGCACTCTGCTAACGTCGCTATTGCTAGCCTTATCGATTGCCATTTGCCCATTGTATTACAATATCATCAAGCACTCCGCACTCTTACCGTGTCAACTGTATCGTAACAAGTGGATGCAAATCAATTTATGTAATCTTAAAATTTTACTGCACATAGAACGGTGACTTGTGCAGTATATGCGTACCTACCTCAAAATTTTACGCGGCCATCTCTCTGCCGACATTGCCCTAAAATATGAAATTAAATTTTATTTATACATTGCACGTATAAGAATTCTGTTTATAAATGAGATATAGCGTTAGAATACTGATTTGGACTGAGGCAAGTGTCGTCGGTCGGGTGAGCCGATATAACGTTTGCCTTTACACGCATTTTTAAAATTAATATTTTATTCCATATTATGCACGGGCCGTCGCCTACGCCCTGTTGTTTTATTTAAGATATGATGTTCGACCGAGGCCTTGTTCAAATATACAAGTTTCCACTGAGCTGCCTCGCAAAACAATTGTTTACATACACACTTTGATATATATTATAAGTACACCTACGTGTACAGAGTAGTGTACACTGGAGCGTGCAGTCTCTAATGGACTTATATAGATATTAAACATATATTTCACTGTTATCTTTTTAGATAAAGTTTTACGGCTGTTTAGTTTACAATTGGTGTTTGTTAGCAAATTAATTGCATGTTTGGAAAGTGTTTAAATCCGGCGAGCGTCCTTTTACCTTTAATTTTAAGCCTCCTTAAAGCGCCAGTCTTCGTCGCGATGCTCACGGCAAGCATTTTTTTTTAATTTTATGATTTTCATGATAAACAATACGTAATGCTGGCCATAAACACTGCGGTCTACCTGTGCGGGTGTGCCGCACGTACACCGGGGCGTGTGTTGGCGTAGACCGGTGCAGTTTTTAATTCTGCATAGGAAAGCAGTGTGAGATCGATAATAAATTAAACTAAAAATTAAATAAAATCAAGTAAACTTCGTCGGTAGGTCGTTACGCGCACGGCGTACATAAATTTAATTAAATTTTAGTAAACCTATTTTTGTGTTTTTGTTTATTAAAATGTATTTAATGGCATCGGTTCCACCGTATCCAATGTTAGTGAATGCCCTTTAAGCTGTACATTTTTAAATTTACTAAATTAATGTAAACATTTAGGAGTTCGGAGCTTTAGTTTTATTTTCTTTACAAAAGGTAGTTACTTGATAGCTTTGAGTTTAAACTTGAAACTACCAATTAACTACGTTTTGTAATTTAACGACAAAAGTTTAAGTATAGTTTTATTGAATCGCACACATTCCTAACTACGAACAAATTTAATATTTCTTCAGCGATCACAGCCGTCCATTGCATCGTCTTGCTGCTTATCTTGTATTTATTGTAAAATGATTGTTCAATGCGACTGATAAAATATTATAACTACGTCAGTAAAGATATGACACGGGAAAAACAACTATTCCGCCATTTTCGAAAACTATTCAAAAGTCTCGATGACTCAGTATTATTTTAAAATTACGGGTAAATTAGTTGTAATTAAAATTCAAAGCGATGGGAGCGGCAGTTGCGCATCGCGAGGAAGGCGGCGTGTTCTTAACTTAACATTCTTTATAAAAGACACTAATTTTAGTAAAGCGCCGCGTTGATGTGCACGGCCGCTTGTTTCTTCCTATACTGAGTATATTACTGTACTGTTTATGTTTAATTAATAAATTGCATTTATGTCACAACGGTGTTTCATTTCAACTGTACACAATATAACATGACTGGACTTATAAGCCTTTTTAAAATTTCGCTGAATAATATAACTTTTTATAAGATTAACCCTAGTATAGATATGAACGTCGTCTCGATATTAAAACAAATATTTTGTGTGAATATATTTTTTTTTAATTCAGGGGCAAAGGAGCATGCAATTCACCTGATCTCGTGTTTTCCGTGTGGTTTGTGTCGACCGCCGTCCATGGACAAATGCAAAACTTTTAAAAAGGAGTAAGCTCGTTTCTTGAAGGTCTTTAAGTCGTATCGGTTATAAAAAATCGTCGGTGGTAAACGATTTCACAAAGAATTGCGAGAAAGAAAACTAGTAAATGGCATAGTGAAGGACCGCCAAGTATCCAAATGATAGATGGTATCAGGAATTTTAAAATATGACCTCAATCGGTCTAAGTCGTTCAGTAGTTACCTGATTACTAATAATAAATGTATTATAAGATGTTATGATACCAACCACAGCAACGCGAGGCCGAGTACAACTAGTTTCTTTTGAAGTGAAAACTAGGCACCTTGGACACTTGGCTAGGGGGGGAAAAAACACAACTCACGTGGCCGTCACGCTCAGATAAATATACAGAGTAGTTTTACAATAGCCGGCCAAATTTGCAAAGAAGGTTCAGAATAATACAGGCAAATGGTAAAAAACAATTAATTAAAAAAATCTGAAACATTCTGTCCTTTTCATCTTTTAAATTCATAATGCGTGGTAATGTATTCATCATCATCACCATTACAGCCCTTCACAAGTCCATTTCTAATTTTCATGTTTTTCACGTCATTTCTATGTTTATCACGCAGAGAAACCCAGAGCATAGCCTGCACCTCTATAGCTCGCTGAGCGTCATAGGGCCAGCAGTGAAGGACCACTTCTCAGATCAGAGATTCAGATCCAAGTCATCACTTTTTTAAGCAACACGCACTGGTTGTACAATATGGTTTTCAGGTTTTGAGGTATACCCGACGAGCGGAGTTGAATCCGTCGATTGACCTCTTGGTCGAAGTTGGACTTACTTAGTCGCACTATTTGTTCCAGGTAAACGCACTCGTCAACATCTTCGAGCTTTGTGCTCCCAACAACTACCGGCATAGGTATGACATGGACATTACAGATGACCTTTGTTTTGTTCATGTTCATCTTAAAACCTATCCGTTGGGAGACAGTATTCCATTCTATATATGGTGATTCTGCCATAAGGAATATATCGTCGGCAAATCGAAGGTGAGTGATGTATTCGCCATTGATAATTGATGCGGTATTAACCGAATCTTTTCCAATTCAGTAGCTTGAAAACGTCTTCCAATGCAGTTGTGAAAAGTTTCGAGGATATAATAAAGTCAACCTGTGTTATACCTCTCAGTAGTTGGATAGGTTTCGTAATCTGGTTTTATTCGGATGCCATCGTAGCCCTACTATACAAACACTTCAGCACTTCGATATACCGACAGTTAACTTTACACAGCAGAAAGGATTGTAGCACCGCCCAAATTTCAACGGAATTCTTCTCGTCTTCAGCTTTGACAGTTGGCTCTTTCTGGCAGACAGATCTGTCAAAGACTTTGGAGCCTTAGTTTCGCTCGATCGCTTCTTCAATACGAGCAGTATTAAAGTTGCGTAAGTCCCGCCGCATGCATTTGGAAATCTGTCTGTTCAGTTGCCTGTATGCTATCAAATTTGTTGAAGACTGCAGCTTGATTTCCCGTCTAACATCAATGAGATTAAGAGTGTGATCGGAGAGTTTTTTGTGTTCTTCTGGGGCGGGTCTTGCAGAACTTAGCACCGACCGCATGGACAGCTTTCACGTCATTTGTCATTCATCACGAAAACGGTTTTGTAACTCGAGCGGAAAGTTTTCGGTACTTTGGATTAGAGCACGAGGGTGACGGAGGGTTGACTTCATTAGACGAGACCTCTCCAACTTAACGTTTAGGTTCAGTGTGCCTCTAACCATTCGCTCGCTGCCAGTTTTCACCCTTGCGATCACTGAGACATCACTAAACAGTTCCCGTCTAGTCGTCATAACGAAGTCAATCTCACTTTTTGTCGAACGGTCGAGACTCGACAGGTCCACTTTTTGTGGGGCCGCTTCTGGAAAAAAGAGTTTATCATAAAGAGTTCCTTTTCTCCATGAAGTCGGCCAGCTGCTGGCCTCGTTCCGTTCTGTTGCCCTATACCAAATTTCAGCTTCAGCTCACCGTACTCTCTTTTGCCTAGTTTTGCGATGAAGTCTCCCTTTAACAACGTATTTGGAGGAATTCATGGCTTTTGAAATATCCTCATTTACTTTTCCTCCTCATCAGGATGTGCGAGGTTGATGCGTAAACCTGTATATGACCTCCAGCCAATACCGTTTGGTGATTCTGAGTATAAGGTACGCAACCCTCTTCGACACACTTCCAATCTTTACAACGTAGTTGACGAGAGACTTGTGGACGATAGATCCGACACCTCCTTGGGACAGATGGTCGCCCTCTCGGTGATAGAGGAAGTTGCCGGATTCGAGGATCACCGTGTCCCCCCTCTTCGAACCTCGGATAATCCTATAATATTCCAGCGCAACTTGTCTATCTCTTCTTCCAGTTCCAGGATCTTCTCATCAGTCCTTAGGGTGCGTGCGTTGTAAGTTGTCAGGTCGAGTCGTCTTAGGTGGCAACCGAACCCCCTCCGCAGATACTTAGCACCCCCTGCCCCGCCGCTGCCGTGGTCGCTACCGCCGGGGACCGTCTCGTCGTAACTCTCATCATGAGGGGTATATTGCCATAGTTCCACGCTTGGTGAGCGGGTTGCCTACTGCAGTATTTTTTGTTGTACAATTCCAGTTATCAGGAAGATGCTGCTGCCCATCTCCTGTCTGTTTCCTTCCGTCGCTCTTTAACCGCCACTACACGGCACTGTCGGTAATGTTATTTTAACTGATTTCACTGCACACGCACACGTTCTTAAGGGTCGATCGGTAGGCAAAATCGTTGCCCATAAATCAAATTCAATTTGGAATAATTTCAAATAAAAGTAGAACCGTGGTAGTTCAGTGGTTAACGCTCGCTGTAAATATAACAGAACGCGAGTAACCCGGGTTCGATCCCCGCCGGCACCAATGAAATTGTTAATTGCA